TGACCCGCTTAATGCTGCTGCAGCTGCTTCCTAACTTTGCCTCTTTCTTCCTTTGCCCTCTGGAGGAGTGGGGTGGAGACGAAGCGATGGGGGTGCCCAGGTAGCCAGCCGTCTCCCGACTGACCCGGCTTCCCATTCCCCCCTCCCCAGCTCCATAGCCCCTGGGATGCTGCAGCTCAGTGCGGCTGGCATAATGCCCTTTGTCTTTCCCCCCCTCCCCCACCCCGCTTCCTCTTCCCGGCCCCTGTGGCGGCGGCAGCCCAGCCCTGGGGAGCCCCCGTGGAAGTGGAGTCCCTCCTGGTCCACCCCGGTGACCTGCTGCAGCTCCGCTGTCGGCTGCGGGACGATGTTCAGAGCATCAACTGGCTGCGGGACGGGGTGCAGCTGGTGGAAAGCAACCGCACCCGCATCACGGGGGAGGAGGTGGAGGTGCGGGATTCCGTGCCCGCCGACTCCGGCCTCTACGCCTGCGTGACCAGCAGCCCCTCGGGCAGCGATACCACCTACTTCTCCGTCAACGTCTCAGGTTGGTAGCAAAGCCCGCCCTCCCCCTCCCTCAGAGCCCCTGCCCTCCAACCCTGTCTGCTGGTTTCGGGGGGAGGCAGGCCCTCTGCCCGGCTGTGATCTGCCCCTACTCTGCTGCAGAAGCTGCTGCCCACTAACATCGCTCCCTGCCCGCCGCGTGGCTTAGCTCTCAGGGGTGACCCGTGGTGCCGGCCTCAGGCCAGAGAGCGGGGGCTTCCGGGACCTACCTCGGAGGTGATTGCTGACACATCGGGGGCAGTGAGACACTGTGATTTCTCCACCACAGCTTGCCCAGTCCTCCGGGTGCTACGAGGGCCGAGGCAGCTTCCACCCTCTCACTCCCTGGCCATTTGGACTTGGTACTTGGCTTAGTAATTAGCTCCCCCGAATACGTGGTGAGGTCCCCGGGTGATGGGGGATGATCCATGTGCGCCGCCGTATCCTCGGCTTGACGGAAAACATCTCTCCTCCGGCTTCCAGAGCTGTTAGGGCAGCCAGGGAACCCTAGGGCTCTGTGACTTTGGGGATCTGCCACTTGTAGGATGCGACTTGTACAAAACCTTAGGATTAAATAAGGTAGAGCTGGAACTGTCTTTACGCCGTTTGTGCGTCCCCGGGTGCGGGCCTGGCATCTCCTCCCCCGGGCATCATCTAGAACCTGCCCCTAACTGAGGGACTTGCCTCCTTTTTTTCCCTCCAGACCCCCAAAAGCACTAGAAAGGACTGGAAAAAGATCTGGCATGAACCCTGATTGGTGACCACATGATAAAAGGGGTGGATACTTGTTGGGGACAGGTGTTGGCAGCTGCGGACTGTGTTGTGGGCTCCCTGTCTGCTCTGGTTAAGAAGGGCAGCTCCCAGACCTCAGCAGATGCGTGCTAGGAAAAATCCAACTCCACGTCGTTCAGCCCATGGCTTCGGAAATGGCTTCTGGCCGCAGTGCCTAGATCTGGGTTTCCAAAGGAGGACACAGGTTCCCTGGCTGCTAGTTCTGAGACCCAGCGCATCCAGGCGATGCTGAGTTGAGTGAGCCTCTGAATGCAGGGTGGAGTTAAATTAAAGAGAGCCCACCTGCCCGCCATGGAACTGCCCAGTGTAAAGCCTTCTTCTGGGCAGAGGAGGGCAGGGCATTGGGGTCGGTGGAGGAGGGCGACACACACAGAGCATGCAGTTCTTAAATAAACCGTGTCTCTCCCTCCGAGGGACAGGCACTAAGGGAGGAGTGGGACCCGGGGACAGTATGGGGAGGGGTAGCTGTGGTCATCTATAACTGGACTGGCCTTTGTGTTCCTTGGGTGGCTGTTGATTGGATGGGTATCTCGCCAGCCCCTGTTCCCTCAGAGGGACGTCAGTACCCCCTTCTCCTTCCCGCAGATGCTCTCCCCTCCTCGGAGGACGATGATGACGATGATGACTCCTCTTCAGAGGAGAAAGAGACAGATAACACCAAACCAAACCGTATGCGTGAGACACTGTTTCCTACCTTACTGCCCTTTGGGCCTGGGTGTTGGGTTTGAACGGGAAGCGGGGCGGGCTCGGGTGATTGTCTGGAGAAGGGGAGGGGGGGGGCATGTGCGGTCACAGTGCTTGGCCCTGGGACCGTCGGGGGTCTGGATCAGTGCAGGCGTCATCCACAGGTGGTGGGCGGGTGGGCGGGAGGGCGGAGGCCCTCGCTCCTGAGCCTGACCAGGCCCTGCCTGTCTCTCTCTCTGTCTCTCTGTCTCTCTGTCTCTCTGTCTCTCTGTCTCTCTCCCTCTCTCTCTCTCTCTCTCTCTC